TCTAGAATCACAGAAATGGGTGCTTATTTCACAATATATCACTTTCCACTAAGGAACTCTACACAAGATCATGAAGATCTCACAGAAATTGGACCTATCAACATGAATCACGCAGATTCACATAATACACTGACACACAGTACACTAACACAAATATATGGAGTAATACTTTATCATCCCTCAAGTATTTCTCTAAAAATCACTCAAATATTGGACTCGGATTGATGAAGAAAATGGAGTTCACCCGCAGACGAAATCATCAATAATAAGCAAGTAAAACTTGTAACCAGACAATGTAGGGATGGATACAAGCCCCACAAATCAGCATGTAAGTATTCTAGGATTTACTTTGATTTATGAGTACTAGTGGGAAAAGGTAACTTAACTTGCTTTTTAATCTAACATTGTTAACAAATCACAAATATTTGATTTTTCAAATACACCTTTATTTTGTAAAGCCTTTAAAACTTTTTCACTAATCTAACCAAGTCTACAATGCCACAATTTTGCAAGATTAAAGTTATCATTTAAAACTGCTACTGAAAGACCTAACAAAGGTTTTACGTTTAGAAAGTATAAACCAAATCTCTTTGGGATAAAAGTGATCAAATCACTACCCCTAAAGATTTTTGGGCCATGCTTGGTGTATATTATGGACACCATTATGGTGTCCATATTGCACACATGGCGCCCCCTATTGGAAGGGCGCCTGGCCCACTCGGCACCCCTCCAATAGGGGGCACCATGTATCCATAATGTACACCAAGAATTATTCAAGATTTTTATGTGTCCTTGACCCAATTTTATGTCAAACTCTATGTCATCCAACATTCATAGAGACACAAGGTTTCTTTCTAATTCAGGAACAAATCTGGCCTCTTTTAACAATAAAATTCTGCCATTTTCTAAGAACAATTTTATGGTTCCAATACCTTTCACTTTGCAGGTCATGTTGTTTCCCTTGATAACTTGACCTCTTTTAATTTGTTCAATGTCCAAAAAATAGATTTTGTTAGGGCACGTGGAAAAGAGCAACCTGAATCAAGAATCCATTTGTGATTTAGGTTCCTTTCAACATTTACAAGAACCAGGCCATTATCAAATTTTTGCTTATCATTGGACAAAACAGCATTACCTTCATTTACCTTATTTCCTTTTGAATCAATTTACTTTTTGTAGCAATCCTTTTTAAAGTGACCCAACTTACCACAATAATAACATTTCTTTCCCTTTGCCATAGTTTTAGATTTCATTTTATTATTGTTCCTTTTCTTAGGGTCATTTTGAAATTTTGAATGAAAATTAGATTTACCAACATTTTTGTTTTTTATCAAAAGATTTTCACCACTTTATTGGTTGATAGAATCTGATTTTAATTCAAGAACCCTATTTCTTAAAGAATTTATAATGATTTCTGTGGTAAGCTTGTTTCTTCCATATTCTAAGGCATTCTTGAAGTCTTTATGCCCATCACTAATGGAGTTTAACAAGACCATGGCTAGCTGATCTTCTGATAATTTCTCATCACAGTTGGCAAAGTCCTAGGTCAATCTTGTAAATCTATCCAAGTTCTCATCTAAATCAACAGAACGATCCATTTTGAAAGAAATGAATTGTTTTAGCAAAAAAAATTGTTTGGAACAGATTTTGGCTCATATTGGGCTTTCAATTTAGTCCACAACTCTACAACAGTTTTAGTTTTACCTACAAACCTAATCACATTGTTTGAAAGGTACAAGAAAATAGTACTCTAGGCTATTTCTTCTAAATCAGTTCTTTTTGCAACAGACATTTCAGAAGACCAATAATTATCTAAGGCTTTAACACATTTCATTTGCATCAAGATAACCCTCATTTTCTAACTCCACATATTAAAGTCCCTCCCTCCCATCATACATGCTTACTTCAAACTTATCAGTAGCCATGACAAAATTCACAAAGATAGTTCACAACACACAAGTTTGAATTCAAGAACACACAGGGATACACAATAAGAGTACTACAAGCAGTCAGGGATTAGGGATTGATGACCAATGCACTTCTTTCAAGTTTCTTCAAGCAGTGAACACACAACACTAAGTATGAATGGCAGACCACACAAGAAACAGAGATTTCAAAAAAAAATCCTATGCCTCAACTAACTTCTCCAGCAAGATTCATCCAATTGCACTCCTCAACATGTTGTTATCTCAGATTCCCAAGACTTCTCGAGTCTTTGGACAAAGACCAAGCAAGTGAGCTATATTAGCACGCGGCAAATGAAGGGAAAAATCAGGGACTCTACTGTAAAGCATTACTTATTATAGAATGTAGGAAAGATCTTACCAAAGAGTTCGAAAGAACTCAGATTCCACCAAACAGTGTTCACGTCAGTTTGAAGCAGGTTTTGGGAATCAGGTTTAACTAAGAAATCACAAAGCTCCAGTAGTCCAGGTTGCTCTGATACCACTAAAAAGTTGAGAGATACTAATCATTAACCAAGATTCCAAACCACAATCATAAACAAAAAAATAAAGTGCAGAAAATGTAAAATGAACACAGTTATTTTTTCGGTCGAAGCCCCAGAGGTTCGATAACCAATCCTAACGCTTAATCCCCTGTTGAGCATTCATTAAAATGGATTAAGCCAGTTGCACTATAAAGCCCCAAAAATCAGGTAGCAAGTATAGAATTATGTTCCAGAATATTACAAAATAATAATTCACAAAGACTTATCTTATAAAGAATAATAGAACCAGCCACTATTCCACAAAAGAATCTCACTGAATCACAAAGATTTCTCTAATGAGGAAAACTGTCATCTCTAGAATCATAGGAACGGGTGCTTATTTCACAGTATATTACTTTCCACCAAGGAACTATATACAAGATCACGAAGATCTCACAGAAATTGGGCCTGTCAACATGAATCACGTAGATTTACATAATACACTGAAACACAGTACACTAACACAAGTAAATGGATTATTACTTCATCATCCCTCAAGTATTTCTCTAAGAATCACTCAAATATTGGACTCGGATTGATGAAGAAAATGGAGTTCACCCGCAGAGAAGAAGAGAGACAAAAAGGCGACTTCAAACCCAAGAAGAAAAGTCTCTTAATCAATAATGTGAATAGCCGCCCCGAAAATATGAAGCTTAGTTAGATAGAAGGATCTAGAATAAGATCCAATGGTTAGGAAATTACCACACATCACAATCCAGATGAAGAGCTTCATTAATAAAGTGTTAATCTGAAAACACATTTTCTCCTTTTTCTAATTTTTTGGAAGCACACTTTAGAAGGCAGCAGGTCACGGGTTCAATTCTCAACAACGTTCAGTAGACTTTCGTTGTCTAGAACATATAGTAAAAGCAATCTATAGCTATTATTGCCTAGATAACTATTGCGTTCTTTCTAGGATCTGAATTTTCAATTTTAGGTTCCATAGATTTAACTAAAGAGGACTAAGATCATGTCAAAGTACAAGATAGGTTGCCTGGATGGAAAGCAAAGGAATAGAAAGCAATGACAGAGATATAATAGGAATTTAGCCTTGTGTTATTGCATCAAACATATATTTTAGTATTTTGCGGTCCAATCTTCTTGGGAGTGGTTGCTCGGGTTTCTTGGCCTGGTATCCTACACCTCGCATTCATGATATCTACATTCACCTATCTTCCTGAAGGTATCTGAAGCTAAACCTCGTTCTGTAGGCTAGCCTTTCAAGATCTTTATTTTTGTACTTAGATTAGCGTGCACTACTAAAAAACATGGCTTCAGGATTTTTGGTTCCTGAAATCTCGATATCCCTTACTATTACTCTTTACCAACGGAATATTTGCAATCGCAAATCCGTTGCAAATTTGAGTGTCACTGATAGTTACCAACGGATCCTTCCGTATGTAAAGAGTAAACATTTTACCAATGAATTTTTCGTTGGTAAAGTGTGAATCTTTTACCAACGAAATTTTCGTTGATAAAAATCTTAACCAATACCAATCGACTTTCATTGGTAAATGTCTACCATCACAATTAGTAAAAATCAATGTTGTAAATAGCTGTATATGTGTGACGCATGGTTAAAAAAAAAAATTATTTATTTATTTATTTATTATTTTTATTATTATTTATTTAATAATTTTAATTTTTTTAACTTTTAACCAAACAATTGAAAGATCAAAATATTGTTTAACCACTTATTTGACCACAAATTAATTTATAGAGGGCAACTTAGAAGACTTTGTTGTGAACTTTCGATGTGGGATAAGTGAATTACTTTTACCAACAGATAATCCATTTCTAATTACCAATGAAAATATCCATAGGTGAAAGTTTCAAATGTTAAACGATTACATAAGGCACGGAATATTCGTTGGAAAAGAGATATCATTATTACCAATGGAAAATTCGTTGCTGGTTATCTTAGTTGGAAGTGAATTACTTTCACCAACGGATAATCCGTTTCTAATTACCAACGGATTGCATCCATTGGTAATATTTGGTACTTCACCTACGTATATTCTATAGGTAAAAGATTTAAATGTTAAATAGTTACATGAGGCACGGAGTATCCATTGGTAAAGAGATATCATCGTTATCAACGGAAAATTCGTTGCTGATTATCGTAGCTGAAAGTAAATAACTTTTACCGATAGATAATCTGTTTCTAATTACCAACGGATAATTTTCCCTAGGTGAAAAGTGAGTTAGGAAGTAACAATTATGACCTCATATGCAACTACTTTTTCCGCAAAAATTAATCCATTTTTATTAGACAACAAGCAAGTAGTAAAAAAATTATATAACAATGTTCAAAATCATTTCAACGCTTAATTAACAGATAGGGCGTAAATTTATTTATTTTTATTTGATCTTAACTATATATAATTGTATATTTCATTAGAAAACATAAACGAATTTGATGTAGATAGCATAAAAATAAGTACGATATGTTATTTAAACTATTAGATGGATAAATTAGGTAGAACTGATTTTACATAAAGAGAAACTATCAGAAAAAATTGAAATGAAAAAGAATATTAAAGGGTGGAAATCTAGTAAAGGTAGGTGCTTGATACAAGAGAAAAATGATTGACAAATATCTATTTACAACCCACAAATTTGTCTCTCCAAAGCGCTTTATCTTGCACATTTCTTTCTCTCTCTTCCCCCAAATCCCATCTGTTCACAACACGAGAGAGAAAGAGAGGTAGAGAAGACCAAGAGTTTTTTTTTTTGGTTACCATGGCATTTGCAGGAACAACCCAGAAATGCATGGCATGTGAGAAGACTGTGTATTTGGTTGACAAGTTAACTGCAGATAATAGAGTCTACCACAAAGCTTGTTTTAGATGTCATCACTGCAGGGGAACCCTCAAGGTTAGTTTGAAGTTTGAACTGAAATTCTTAGTTATATTTGCCTGCAAAAATTCATTACTCGATTCTGAGGTTCTGAAATTTTGTCATAATCTTACTCTTTTAGAATGGATCTTTGATTCTGAGTTTGACCTTCAGTTATAGATTCTTGATTGAATATATTTTAATTTTAGAGTCTGATTATTAAGCCCCTTTTTGTCATAATTTAACAAATTAAATTATTTCAAACATTAACATTTTCTACCACACATTCACACAATAAAATGTTAAAAACACAAATCAATAAAGTTTCTTTAAATTTTAACCACACATTCTCCAAAAAAAATAAAAATTAAATAATATTCAAAACTCATTAATTTCTCCATTAATGGGAGACAAACAGGCTCTAAATATTAAATTTGAGTGAATAAATAGCTTAAGCTGAAGTAATTTATCGTGATATTGAAGTTGAAAATGATCAGAATTCCAAGTCTTGTCACCATAGCGATGCCAAAAAAACCCGCCCCGTGCCAGAATGGGTTGGCGGGGGAGGGTACGGAGGGTGCGGGGGATCCTTGCCCCTTCCTGAACCGGCCCCGTGAAGGGGGAAAAAAATAAAAAATAATTCTATTTCTAGACAATTCACCCGTTAAAAATCCATTTTGAATTTGTATTTTATTGTCTAATAATAACATAACTCGAAACTTCGAAAATATAAATAAAAAAAATAAACGGAACAACAAACGGGGGTAAAAAGTTGCAGGCGGGGGCGAGGCGCGGTGCGGGATTTGAACGAGACGGGGCGGGGTGGAGGTGCCCCGTCCCAAACCCGCACCGTTGCCTTCTCTATGTCACCATCTCGTTCATGAAAATTGTCCACATATTGATAAAAAAAAAAAATGTAAGCTAGTGTATGCGGCACGTGCTGAACTCAATGTGCACTTTGTGTTTGTTTAAGCTTTTAGACAAGGTGGTAGTTCAACATAGAAAGATTTTTTTTATTTATTTGGACCAACTTTTCAGATAACTTTGCATTCTGGATTGCATCAATATATATTTTATATAAGACCAATTTTTCCAGCTTGATATCTTTCTTCTTTCTTTTGCTATTTCTTTTGTAGATTGGTTTCATGTATTCTATGAACCTGACATTCATAATATGATAATGTCAGTTTCATCATTGTAACTTGAGAATATATCAAAATTGTCTCATCCAGCGGATCTATATACTTCTATGGTTTAATTGCAGCTTGGAAACTACAATTCCTTTGAGGGAGTTCTATACTGCAGGCCACACTTTGATCAACTCTTCAAAAGAACTGGCAGCCTTGACAAAAGCTTTGAAGGTAAATAATGATAAATAATGAAGGTAGACGAGTTTTGCTCGCAACATTTGTTGTATGATTGGTAAGTTGTATTGGACAGTATTGTGGAGTATTAAACAAGAAAAAGAAGTTAAAATCTTGTTCATATAATCATGTCTAATATTGCATACTAACAATCCTCTTACTTCATTCTCCTTAACGTTTTCAGGAACTCCTAAAATTGCAAAACCAGAGAAACCAGTTGACAACGAGGTAAGAGACCTCATTGACACACTAAATGTATATAACAATCAAAAAATCCAAAATTGTCTATGTTCAGCTATTTTGTATTTGCATTCTAAGAGGCTTGCCAATATTCGGTACATGGATCCATAATCAATCTTCAAATCTTGATGTTTGAAACAGAAACCTCTGACAAACAAAGTTTCAAGTATGTTTGGTGGAACGAGAGAAAAATGCGTTGGTTGCAAGAATACTGTCTATCCAACTGAAAAGGTAATCATTTGGCTCATTTGAATCCACCCAATCTGTGGTTTAAATCCTCAAACTCACATATAGATAAGGCGTAAGATTTATTTCACATTATGTTTGGTGTGTAAGGAAAGGGGAAATTATGAGTGATACCTAGAAAATATGTACAGGTCTCGGTAAATGGAACTGCATACCACAAGAGCTGTTTCAAATGCACACATGGAGGATGCGTCATCAGTCCATCAAACTACATTGCACACGAGGGGCGCCTTTACTGCAAACACCATCATATTCAACTCATCAAGGAGAAAGGCAACTTAAGTCAGCTAGAGGGCGATCATGAGAAGAATTCGGTAGGAACTGGTGTTGTGGCTGCGGAAACATAAACCGATGAGGATATGATATCTAATGGTTACGCTTTGTGGTCATGTTTTTATTTTAACCTCTGTATCGGTGTACTACTTTCTGGAGTTAAACTAGATTTCTTGGAATCATGAATGTGTTTATGCATAAAAAGAGTTGAATTCTGTGTTTCGAATTGCTGAGTGTGCAGGCTGGCTTTTGTTGATATTCTTGGTTCATGTCATAAATTGCTGAGACATAAATGTTGATTAAATTTGAAGTTACTTGTGTTGATATTACTAGTGATATCACTCTTTTTTTATTGCTGATGCTAAATGTTTTTATCGTCATCTTTGAGTTTTCGGAACTGTAAATTTCAATTGTTACGCCTTCATCTTACATGGAGTCTTATTTGATTGCACGAAGTCCAGGCATCAAGGCATGAAGACTTCCAAAGCATATCAAGGCATGGAAATTCCTAGTATATAATACAAGGATGAAGTGCAAATCATGAGGACTCCCAACGTTTAATATACAACGAGTCCTAAAGCTTAGCATAAATGACGTCTTGGACTTCAGAGACTATTGTTATGCTTTCATAATACATGGAGACCTATTTGATGCCACATAGGACCGGTGTAGGAGCAAATGTCTCATAAGATCCACGTGAACGAAACAAGGATGATGAAGCTAGCCTTTTTACGTAGAGGCCAAGCCTTGTTAAGAGGTCGACCCACTGTAGCAGAAATCCCTCGATAAATTTTGATTTCGGGCTCAGAAAACAATCAAACGAACACCGGTTTACCTTGGCTCGACCCGAGACTTTCGCCTTACACTTTGGACTGCCCAACTCTCTCGAACCCCACAAAGGAGAAGGGTGGTGGTGTTAGCAATCCACAAAGATATGGAGAGGAAGAAGAAGATATCACAATGGTTAAATCTCACTCACAACCTCAAATGGCTTCCCTCTCTCTCGATTGCCTCTCTTTTCTCAACTCTCCTCTCCATTACTACAACACACACACACACACACACACACACACACACACACACATAAGCAGGTTTTGACTTATCCTTAAAATCTTTTGGTTGATTCATGAAAATTTGTTCATCAAGCTCACCATGTAAGAAAGCAGTTTTTACGTCATGTTATTCAAGTTCCCAGTCAAAATGTGCAACCAATGCGAGCATGATCCTAATAGTGGTGTACTTAACAACTGGTGAGAAAATTTCATTATAATCAACGCCCTCCTTCTGTGTATAGCCTTTAGCCACTAACCTAACTTTAAACCTTAGGGGTTCCGAGCTGCTAGTTCCTTACTTAACCTTAAAAACCCATTTGCAATCAACAATTAATTTGTTCTTAGGCCTAGGTACTAGCTCCCAAGTATGATTCTTTTCTAGAGAACTCATCTCTTCTTTCATTGCCTTAAGTCATTCATTTGATTGATCACTGCCTATTGCCTCTTCAAAGGTCTTTGACTCTTTATCAGCTAGTTCTTCATAACTAGCCTAGGCGAAAGCTAATTCAGATTCAAAACCGAACCTTATAGGTTCTCTCATCTGTCTCTTCTCTCTATCCCTAACTAAGTTATAGTTAGTTAAAGGAATTTTTTCCTCATAGTGCTCTTCTGTCACTATTTCGTTACTATTTTCCACCTCGAATTCCTGAGTTTGAGTCTCCACCTCATTTGAAGCAGTAGGGGCAGGTGGACTGAGTTTTCCTAACTCCACCTTAAGCTGGTCTCTCTCGTCACCTGATTCAGCTTCACTCTCAGGTTCAGTTTCCCCTTTAATCAAATGCATCTTATTTTCGTTAAACGTGACATCTCTACTTATGATGATTTTAACCCTTTTTTGGCTTCTATCCCATAACCTATAACCCTTAACACCCTCGGAGTATCCTAGATAGACACACTTCCTAGCTCTAGGTTTTAGTTTACCCTCACTTTGATGAGAAAAAGCTGTACAGCCAAAAGTTCTAAGTATTGAGTAATCACTTAGTTTACCCGACCATCTCTCATACGGAGTGTCACCATTCAATGCAGCAAAAGGAGTCAGATTAATCAAATAACAAACGGTCATAACAGCCTCACCCCAAAATGACTTAGGAATACCAGAACTAATCATCATGCAACGTACTTTATCAAATATGGTCATATTCATCCTTTCTACTACCCCATTTTGCTGAGGGGTGTAAAGAACGGTCTTATGTCTAGTTATCCGCTTTCTTTACACATACTATTAAATTTTTTTATTACAAAATTCTAGGTCATTATCTATCCTTAAAAATTTGATTTTCTTGCCAGTTTAGTTTTCCACTTGTCTCTTCCAATTGTTAAAACTATTAAAGGTCTCAGATTTATCCTTCAAAAGATAGAACCACACTTTCCTTGTGTAATCATCGATAATAGACAGGAAATACCTATTTCCATCCGATGTGGAATTACTAACAGGACCCCATAGATCAGAGTACACATATTCGAGCATGCCTTTAGTTCTATTAACACTCGTGGAGAAAGAAGTTTTATGATGCTTACCAAGCACACAATGATGACAAATCTGACACACAATCATTACCGAAAGCACCTTTTTTATTAAGCAGCTTAAGTCCCTTGACCCCTACGTAAGCAAGTCTATTATGCCATGTGTGTGTGTGATCAATCTTGGCAGAGGAGATAGAGGAATTCACACCTCTAATCACTTCCCCAATAGTAATGTATATATCGTTTTTCTTAATTCCCTTAATGGAAATTAAAGCACCTTTGATCATTTTCATCATACCATTTCCAATGTTACCAGTAAAGTCATTCTTCTCAAGTCTCCCTACTGAAATCAGATTCCTAGACAACTCAAAAATATATCTAACGTCCTTTAACGTATACACAAAACCTGTGTCAAATTTTACGTTTACGTCACCAATTCCAGCAATAGTATAGGCAAAATTATCACACAGTACAACATGCCCAACATTAGATTCATACAACTTATAAAATTATTTCTTTTCAGACGTCACATGAAAAGATGTACCAGAGTCAAGTATCAACTCATGCATGGGGGAATTAGTAGTTAGATTTAATTCAGCGGTGTATGCAACTGGACTTGTAATCATATAGACCTCACCACCATTTATATCGGAAGTAGATGCTAACACGTTTACCTCATCTCTCTCCTTAACCTTTAGCTTACCCTTCTCCTTATGACAATCTTTTATAAAATGCCCTGTATTTCCACAACCATAGCATTTTCTCGCTTTAGTCCTAGATTTTCATCTAGACCTACCTTTGCTCTTCTTTTTCGATCTATTACCACTTGACTCGCCACTAGTTTGATATCCCTCATGACTATTTTACCTAAATTGAGTTCTACCCCGCATCATATGTACCTCACTGTTCCTCTTATCATGTTTTTTAGCCCCAATTTCCATTTCTTTACTTCTAAGGGAATCTATGACAATTTCAGGTGTTAATGTGTCTCTACCATACTTAATGGCGTTCTTAACTTCTTTATAGGAATCAGGAATTGCATTGAGCAAAATTATGGCCTTATAAGTTTCAGACACAGTCTCATCACAATTAACTATATCTTGTACTAATTTGTTAAACACGTCTAGATTGTCATCAAGATCCTTTGAAGGATCCATTTTGAAACTGAAAAATTGTTCAAGCAGGTAAAGTTTATTCGGTGTAGACTTAAGTAAATACAAGTCTTCTAATTTTTTCCAAAGTTTTTTAGTGGTTTTTAGTTTACCCACCTTTCTTAAAACGGCGTCAGAAAAGTGTAAAATAATTGAGGTATAAGCAAGCTCATCGGCTTCTTCTCTTTGTTCTTGTGAAAAATCAGTTGAAAAATTCCCTTCAATGGCTTTTGAAACATTTTGTTGGACTAAAATACCCTTCATTTTTTATTGCCAAATAACAAAGTCACCCTTTTCATTAAAAATTCTCAAATCAAAACTGTGAGTTGTCATCTTTACACAATAGTCAAAAATGCACAAACCACAATCAAACCACACAAAGTAGTCCTAGGGTCACAGACAGTATACACCGTTCTAGATTCTCAGGATTTCATAAGACTCGCGGTCTTAGATCAAGGGAATTTTCGAACGAGTAAGGTCACGGTATTTCTAACGGAATAAGTAAGCGGCGAAAATAACAATGCAGCAAAAAATACGTCTAGCAGATAACTAGTCCCACAGTAATTACATCACTAAGAATTACAAAACTGATTTTAACTCAAAACAAATACTCAATCAAAAAATCAATCAAGAGCATGTAACCCTAATTCTAGCACAAGCAATGGTTGCCAAGTAATGATAACCCCCAACCTATTGTCACCCCACACGGTGACGTGCTAATGCTGAAAAATTAACGGGTAAAGCCAATTTACCAGAGCGGACGTGTCTGAGTCCGTATAATGGAGAAAGATACGAATCTACTGCTTTAGGGCTACAATCTTGGCCTAAAGTAATTCAGTAGATATATGCAGTTTCAACCGTCGATCCACCAGGGGCAAAATTGTCTAACTTTTTCTGTGTAACCTGAAATAGAAAATAAACATTGTCAGTGCGTTCAGGGGATTGAAATGAGCAAATTGCTCGAAGGAAGTTCGCCCGAAATTGCCACCGCCGAAGGTCGTCGTCGCCGCCGCGCGCCACACTGGAAGGGGCGCCTCAGCCTGCTGGTTCCGGGTATGGGATCAGTTTCGTCGAAAAGTTACTGGTTTGGCAAGAAAATGAGATTGCAGGTTCGGTTCCCTATAAAAACACGCATACCGTCATCATTTTTGGTGGTTTTCTGGCTGGAAAAGGTGACTCCGGCTCTGATGCCAGTTGTAGTGATAATTTCCAGCAAACACCAAGTTCAAATCGGGCTCAGTTTCACCTATTTCATCGACACTACCAAGGTTGAGACAACTCCAAAACCACCACCAAGGCCGCCCCACTTCCGGTTGCTATAGGTTGGGAAGATGGAGTCCAATAATTTGCCCACTAAGGATTAACCACAAAGGTCACAGTGAAGTGATAAAGAAATCGAGAGATAAGACTCACAAAGAGAAATTGGGCATAATGCTATGGAGGCCGAGAGAGAGACGGGAATATAAACCAAGTAAATATCCAAAATAGGTAAGTTAGGTTAGGGTTAATTTGTGGACCAAACAAGGCTCGACTCAATATTAATGGGCTTCAAATTAATAATATAGTCTTCCAAGGAAATGGGGCGAACCGTGAGCAACACTATTAACAATAGATTGCTTCGAACGGTCCATACGAATGTGGATTGTGTTGTCTCGATAATTG